CGCGAAGAGGTGCGCTCGGCTCATTCCCGCAACCTGTGGCGCGGCGGGCGGCGGAGGAGGAGCACGCATGGATGTCCCTCTTGTTCTCATGCTCATACATGTGGGAAAGAACCTCCCTTATAAAGAGGTCCAACTCCCTTTAAACTAGCAATGTGGGACTAAATTTTAGTTTCACCTCTTGCCTTACACGAATGGGCTGCGTAGGCCTCTAGGATTTATTAGGAATTTCTGAAACTGCTATTGGGCTGGCCCATAATAGACAAAATTCCAGCAATATCTAGTATTCTACATATATTCGGTGAGGCCACGGGTTTGAAGATCAATTTGCAGAAGAGTACAGTCACAACCATTCGATGCGACGAGGACAGGGCAGCTGCAGTGGAGGGGCACTTCCAATGTAGGAGACAACAATTCCCCATCCTTTACCCGGGTCTACCTCTGTCCATCTACAGATTGCAACACCAACATCTTCTTCCTCTCATCGACAAATTCTCTGGAAAGTTGAAAGGTTGGAAACCAAGGATGCTTGCTGCTGCAGGTCGTCTGACTCTCACCCGATCGGTGCCATGGCTCCGCCGATCCACCTAATGTCCGTTTTATCTTTGCCGGTGTGGGCCATCAAGATTCTTGGGGACGGGAACTCGGCACGGTTCTGGACGGATAATTGGCTCCGGATGGTTGCTCTAGTGCTGCTATGGCTCCTGCGTTGTTCTCCTTTGTGAACAACAAGTCGAGGACAGTGAGAACGGTAAGCGAGGCTTTGCATGGTCAGGCGGGCCTGGATAAGAGATATCTCTGGAGGTTTATCGCTTATTGCCATGGCACAATACCTGCGGATTTGGGAGATTGTTCAGGCCACTACACTGACGGAGGGAACCAGAGACAGGGCGATTTCATAATCTTCAGTTCTCGGTCAAGAGCGCCTACCAATTATTCTTCCTGGGGAACACTAACTTTGCTTGCTACAAGCCCATCTGGAAACCTAAGGCACCCCGCGATGCAAATTCTTCATGTGGCTTGCAGCACCATGCAAACACATGCCATTACAGGATTTGGAAGGAAAGAAATGCAAGGATTTTCGACACGGTGGGCAGGGTGAGGGACCTGATCCTAGAGGATATCAATGTCTGGACGGCTGCGGGTTGTATTTCTGATCTGGCGACATGGGTGCCAATTCTCCTTCTACAGTGCTTGGTTTTCAGTGGACTTCGCCCTGGGATAGCTGTACAATTCGCCTCCTCTTGGATGTAACCTGATGTACTATCCCTTTCTTTTCCTATCTAATAAAATTCGGCCACTAGCCCTTCGAGAATAAAAATACCTACCCAAAAAATATAGGGAGGTAGTAACTAGCAAACGTTCACCAGGAGGGCAACCCTGGCGAACACGCTTCCACCGTCGCACGCATCTCAACACCGATGCAATGCCACGTTGGATGGCTAGATGCGTTAGTTGTATGGCGCACGTCGGATGGCTGGAGGCATTCGCTGTCTGGCTATTGCTAGCGAACTCTTGCTTTTTTTTCTTTCGCCAAAAAAAATGTAACATGGGCGCGTCGAGCATGGCACTAGGCTGAAGACCGGGCTTGTGAACATTTGTGTTAACATTTTTATTTATAATTTTATATACACCATGCCATTTTTTAAGTTTTTTTAATTCACCCCAAAAATACTGATTTTTTTACTTTATCACAGGGCAGTTTTATTATAAGAGGGTGGCATTTATATTACTGAGACAACGGCAGTTTTGTTTTTAACAAAATGGCAGTTTTATTAATAAGAGCATGGTATTGTCTTAATAGTAGGATGACATTTTTTTTATTATGATGATGCCACCTTTTGTCATTAAGACGATGGCATTTTTAATAGTGAGAAGATGGCATTTTTTTTTAATGGCATGGCATTTTTTATTAATAAGAGCATGGCATTTTTTATAATAGGATCACATTTTTAATACTGAGAGGATGGCCCTTTCATTTTTAATGACATGGCATATATTACTAAGAGCATGTCATTTTTTATTTATAATTGTATGTCATTTTATTATTATTTGTAGGATTTAATTATTTAAGATAATGGCATTTTTAATGCTGAAAGGTAGCATTTTTGTGCCACATTTTTTTACAAACAAGAAGTTTGGGTGATGAGTAGGAACATGGCAACTTTTGTGGCATTTTTTCATTTTTCTAATTTTTCTTTATGACATTTTCTTAAAAAAATCTATTTCATGGGCCAATTGTTGGGTCGCCATGGCCCTCCCACTGGCGAACGAGGGAAACGTTTGCCGAGAGGACCTTCACTGGCAAAGGAATGCGTTCAATGGGAGTAGACTTGGCCATGGGCAGCCCGGCCTGAAAAAGCCCAACCAGGCCCGGCCCGACGTTGTCCACGGGCCGGGCTCGGGACTAGATTTCAAGCCCGATGACTGGGTCAGGCTAGGCCCGGGCCCGTCGTATTCGCACGTTAACGAAGAGGCCCAGCCCGAGGCCCGGCGGGCTTTTAGCATGATTGGCCAGGCTCAGTCCCGATTTTTAGGCCCGACAGCTGGGCCAGGCCGGGCTTGGGCCTGAGTTTTTGCATTGGGCTTTAGTAGGCCCAGCCCGAAGCCCGGCCCAACAGATGGCCAGGTATAGATGGGGGGCTCCTCCGGTCGCCAGCTAAAGGGTCCAAAATATAAAAAGTACATCTAACATTTACTTTTGACCAAGAAATTGCTAAACAAAATGTAGATTTATATTTTTAACCGAGAATAAGTGGATTGTGCAATACAAAATTAATATCATTGGGTTGGAATTCAGAAACCTCTTTTCATGGTGCCCAATTAATCTGTATCTATTATATATTGATTCAAGTATAGTTGGACTAATTGCTGAACAAAGGAAATCAACATGTCTTACAATGCAACATCTTGAATCTTATATATGGTTAGAATTTTGCAATTTCATAAAATCCTCTATATGACAAACTGGAGTATATTTTCCCGCAAAAGGAAAAGAAAAACTGAAGCATATAGTGTCAGATCCTCCAGCACCATGCAAACAGATAGTACGAAGATAGAACTGCAAATCATACCAAAATATATATTTAAAATAACATCAACCAATGTCGATGAACAAAGATACCGCAGAATGTCATCTGTTGCTGGTCAGAATTCAGCGCAGCAGAAGCGCATTTACAGGAGTGACAAAACTTATTGTTTCTTCCATTCCATGGGAAGATATTTTCGGCGGAAGATCCGCCAATGGCTTGCACTTCATGTTCCTTGAGGTTAAAAAGAAGAAGAAATGTGGCCGCAGGGACGATGGTGGAGACGGTTAGATAGGGACGCCATAATTCACAATCTTCGTGAGGGCAGAGTTGAGCACACGCTTCTCCTTCTTGACCTGAGAGGCTAGGCTGGAAATCTGGCAGGAAAAGAGAAAACAATGTTAACATGAACTTACATTACAAAATTCTCCAGCTTCACCAACAACAAAAAATTACATATATTTACAAAGGAGGTGGGTGCAATCTATTGTGGACGGATTGACGAGCAAAGATAATAGTGCAACTAGTCAACACATAACCTGTACATAGTTGAAGAGGAGAATAGTGGTGCAATGAAATGCAAACTACAGTTATATCTACTGACCTCTGATCGAAATTCAGATGCATGTGCTCTTGGAAGCTGATCGAGAATTCCCTTGAGACCTAAGAGGGAGCATCTCAACATATGTAAGATTCAAGGCAAGAAATTTCCACACCAAATTCGAAGTCATTAAACAAAGCAGTGGCCTCTAAGGAATTCCACGCACCTACTGCTTGGTTTTCAATATCACTAATTTGCTTCAACTCACTTTGAATGGCACGCCCTTCTTCCCTGAGAAGGTGTACATCCATTCCAATGTTATATGAAAAATAAATAGAAACAGAAATGATAACTGGGTCAAACAAGGAACTACATGCCTGAGTGTATTCCATCCTTTCTGGAATCTTTTTTCTGCTGTTGCAGCTCGATCCTGGAACCCATATGCAATAATTTTATCCATGAGTAACATAGAAATTACAATTCCCAGGTTTAAAACAAAGGTCTTGGTGTTCTATCTATACATAAAGAAAGTTACCATCAGTTTTTGGCTTTCATTCGACATAAGATTGACTGTTTGCCGCATGTGATTCACTTCAGCCTGGATACCAGAAAGTAGGGTCTACAATACAGCAAGTTGCGTTAGACAACGCACCTATTATTATTATTTGTTTCTAAGGAAAATCAACCCTGTTGTTAAAGACTGCAGGTACCATAAACGAACTTCATAAAACCGTGATCATTTATGTTCCAATAACAAAAGGAACTGTATTATAACATGCTTATGCAAATAATAAAACATATTGCTCAACAGGTCAGAGTTAATCAACAAGTAGTAAGATATGACAAGATAAGATGGTTGATGCAGCTTCCAAACATTAAGCTAGCAGATAACTTGTCAATTCACAATGAAGTATGAGCTAATTAAACTGACAGGTAGTGCTTACCTCCTTGCTGACAAATACACGCCGTACACGTTGGATTAGGTAGCTCCTTGGCCCTGGGACATTCAATGACTCAGTTTCAGTCATACTAAATTTAGTAGTATACAAGAAAGCATCCAATTTTTCAGCCTTCATGCAACATCATGGAGCAAACTTCCACTGAATCAATAACCTTGTAATTCATACCGTGAAATGGTAGAAACTACACCTACACATTAAAGGTTGGATAATCTGAACTGAATTTCAGAGAAGGTGTAATATAATTCACCTAATCCCATATTTAATGAATAATGCAATCAGATAATCTGAACCTAAAGGAAAAGGATATGTGCACGATAATTTAAGTTGGACGCAGTTAACTGGTTTGCACCAGTATCAATACATTCCAGTTAACTTGGAGAAATGAAAAATAAGTTTAGATTCTCATTCAAGATAGAGGGGGAAATGGTTCAACATGTGGCACTATTCGCAAACAACTAAGGGTCTCTTTGATTCAAAGGATCTCCATAGGATTTTTTAAGGATTAGAATCCTTAGGAATTTTCCCTACATTGGTCGTTTGATTCGTAGGATTGAATCTTGTAGGATTTTTTCCTAAGGATTTATTTGTACTACATTTCAAAGCAATTCTAACATCCACTCCAACCTCTTGGAAGAAATCCTTTGCTTTTTCCATGACACAATTAAACAAACTCAAATCCTATAGGGATCCAATGGCCATGCCATTTCAATCCTATGGGCCTCTTTCATTCACAGGATTCTGAAAACACGGGAATAGGAAAAACATAGGATTGTAATGTCATGCTCATCTCCATCCTATAGGATTTTGGGTTGTTTGATTGCATCATAGGAAAAACAAAGGATTCCTTCAAAGAGGTTTGAGTGGATGCTAGAAATCCTATTGGAAGTAGTACAAAGAAATCCTTAGGAAAAATTCCTATAGGATTCAATCCTTTGAATCAAACAGCCAACATAGGAAAAAATCCTAAGGATTATGATCCTCCAAAATTCCTATGTAAATCCTTTGAATCAAGGAGCCCTATGTTTTTTCTATTCCTGTGTTTTTGCAATCCTACGAATCAAAGAGGCCCTAAAAATCATTATCCTCTACTACCTCTGTACCGAAATACTTGTAGCTGGGGGAAACTAGTACAAGTTCCCCCAACTACAAGTATTTTGGTACAGAGGGAGTACAAGAGTAGATAATCTGCAAAGCATTCCACATGCAGGTACCATATTTCTTTGTGAATAGCCAGCAATGACCAATCAGATTCTAATACAACAGCTCTATCTCATCCAACATAACACCACAAAGCAAACGGGTTCCAGGGAAATGAGATTACTTTTGAGCAGCACGATTCCTGCAACCGCGGCTGAGCCTGCAGCGATGCCCGGATGCTCGATGGCCATGATGACACCCTCTGCAAATGCAACAACAATCAATACCTGATTTCAACATATACCACCACAAATGCGCTGACGAGACATCAAAATCCGACCATTGGACATTCATCTGATCTGACCCAAGCTAAGCATGATGATCCATCCATAGAGATGCGATTTTGTAACCTACGATCTGCTCACCTTTGATCTTGCCCAGCGCCATCTGCTCACGAGCAAAGTACTCCTTCTTCACCCATTCCAGCTCTTCCTACATCAGGAGAAAAAAAATACAAATCAACCCGAGCTTGAGCGAATTTCGGCGAGATCGGAGCGAGGGAGGGGAATGTGGGGGTAAAGGGCGGCACCTTTGCGGCCTGGGTGAGGGTGGGGACGGCGGCGAGCGCGCCGGACATGGCCGCGTTGGCGGCGTCGGACGCGGCGACGGCGGAGGAGTAGGCGTGGGCGTGGGCAGTGTCGACGGCGGTCCTGGCGGCGGCGGCCAGGTCGGCCCCGAAGGCCTCGCCCCGGCGCGTGTAGTCCGCGGCCGCGGCCGCCGCGGAGGACGCGGAGGAGGCCACCATGGAGGAGATGGACCCGCCGCTCTCTGGCTGCTGCTGCGGCGGCGAGGAGTCGCCGGCGGGAACGGACGGCGCGTCGGTCATGGCGGCGGCGCGGTGGGGCTGCGGCTCCGTCGGATCCGGACCTGTTTCGCAGAAATGGGGTTGGGAAAAAAACAGATTGGCGTACTGCCTGGAGCCCGCTTTCAAGGCATGGACACGTATTCTGGCTATACGCATTCCATTTGTTCACTCTGTTCGCTTTTGTTTAACCTCTTCGCTCTTGTAGAGATGTCAAACACCGTCTCATGCTCTTTCACGAACGCCATTGCAAGGTGAGAGTATGTTTGGATTTATGATGACCATAAAAGGTTCGTCGCAACGAGTAGCAATGTGTATGTGATCATGGACTAGCACATTTGTCCATGCGCCGTAATGGAAGAAAAGCGTAAAGGTTCGGTGGCACTCGTTGATATTTAGCCGCGTCCCTTTTTTTTTTTTGCCAGGCGTCATCGTCCATAGAATTCTGTTTAAATACTTAATTATGCACCATGCAATGATTTAAATGTTCAGTGGCACCCATTGATAGGAAAGAGTCAATGGTCAAGGTATTGAGGCAAAATGTTGCGGACGAGTTTAGTTGTGTTCGTATTCTCTATTCTTAAATAGCTTGAACCCACTAGCTAATTTTTCTCCCCCATGCAAAAATGCCACATCATCAAGTCATGCATCGAGTTATACGTTACCTTTTTCATTAATCTCTTCATGCAAAACGTACCACATCATGCATGACTTTTTTTTCCGGGGAATTAAGTCATGTAAGTCACTTTTATATTTGTTTTTGTGTTAATTTTAGTCTTCTACCACTTATACATACATTTTTCTTAACAAGGTTCCCGCAGCAACGCGCGGGGCATTGTCTAGTTTTCTAAATTTGTACATACTAAAGTTGAGACGCTTATTTTAAGAGGAGGAAGTATATCTTTTTAACAAGTATATTTTTATCTTGTATTTTGCACCATACAACATTTAAATAGCACAAGTTCACCGGCTTGAATAAAATTTGTATTTATAGCCCACAATCAAATCTTTTCTAATCGTTTAAATATACGGTCTAGCGCCCACACTCCTTCCTTTCAATATTTCATCCAAGTATATTTTTTTCCTTGTACTTTTGCACCATATAGCATTTAATAGCATGCCTTCACCCGTTTGAATAAACTTGCAAATCAGTACTCCCTTCGTTTCAGTTTATAAGTCCTATGCGTATACCTAGGTTGCCAATTTTATCATCCTAATATAAATTATATAACACAAAAATTATACCTTTTAAAAATAGAATATCTGAAGTTTATATTGGTATATTTTTTGTAATATATGACTTGTATTAGGTTGGTCAAATTGACGACCTAGGGGTACGCGCACGCCCTGTAAACTGAGAGAGAGGGAGTACATACAATGCACGTTGATATTAGGTAGGAAATTAATTGCATGGTCATATCAGGCAGGAAATTTAATCTGCATTAATATTAGATATCAATTACGTGTGAATTAGTCTATATTTGGTATGTTATTAATTGCACGCAAAACAGGTTGAGCACTCGTTATTGGAGTAATATAGATCGTTGGATTGACATTGTTTGGAGAAGCTTGGAGAGTTTCCGAACAGGCTGGCCCACGCAGCCATGCTGTTGGGCCGACCCAACACGCTCGCTCGCTCTGTTCCTACTTCTTTCTATTGCTCGGTTTGCCGCCGATTCCTTAGCCTGTTCAAAGTTGAGTGGTTCCACTTTTGGTTGTTTGACCCTTTACTTAAAAAAGGTTGGAAGCCTTTGCTCAAAACTGGAACCCTCACTCCGGCGAGGAGTTACGCGCCATCCTCAGCGCCCATAGGGGTGGTTTCGCTCGAGTCCTTTGGCGTTGCGTAGGGGCGCTGTTGTGGTCTCTCTGGACCACCCTCAACAAGATTACTATGGAACACAAGTTCCCTTCCCATCCAGCTGACATTATTTTCAAAGGCCATTTGTTCCTTCAGACTTGGATGTTGTTGGGGAAACGGCGAGGCACTGAGCGGATGGAAGAAGCTATGGAGAGGATACGCGCCATTCAGATAGCTGCTCGATAATGATCCCCATGGACGTTTTGTGGGAGTTCTACTCCTTCTCGCCAGCTGTTTAGACTTTCCTTGCTTTTATTTCAGGCTTCGGCCGGTTGCATGTATTATGACTTGGCCCTCGGCCCTGTGGTTTGTTAGTGTGTTTCGAACTTGGATGTTGCCTGTTGCTGAACTTTATTAATTTAGAGTCGGACGCTTCTTGCGTCTTCGTTCTAAAAAAAAGTAAAAATATTTCATGAATTTTAGAAAAAGAGCAAAATTGAACAAATCCATGATTCTGAATAAAGTTCATCAATTTTAAAAAACTTCATCGAATTTCGAAAAAGTCATCAAATTTGAAAACATTTCATAGAATTTTTAAAAAGTTTATCGAATTTTGATAAAAACTAATAAAATATAAAAAAACATAAATTTTGAAAAAAAGGTTATGGATATTGGAAAAAGTTCGTGAATTTTGAAAAAAATAAAGAAAATGAAAACAAAAAGGAAAAAATAAAAAAATAAGTAGAAAAAGAAAAAGAAAATAAGTAGAAAAGGAAAGAAAAACCAAATAAACCAGTCCAGAAAAAACCTGATGAAAAAAAATAAAAAACTAGGGGCTTCGTGCAAACTGAAGAAAAAATAAAATGAAGAAACGAAGTAAGTAGGCATAAAGCTATACCAATCCTAGTGGTTACTGGGGTTCTCTCTTATAGAACAAATCTTGAATTTGATGAATCTGTCGGTCATACACTTTTTTTAGAAAAAAAGGAAGAAAAGG